TGGTTTGTTATTGAGAACATGACATGTATAACATATAATCATATACAATATATAAAAATATATATTAATATACATGATGCTCTATTAATATATGCAATATATTAATATATACAATGATCGTCATATATATAAATGTTACTGAGAAGATATATAATGTTATTGAGAATATATAATAACATTAAGTTGTCATGGGGAAATTAAAAACTATTATACTTCTTAACATGTATTTTACAGCTTGTAAAATACATATTACTTTATTTTGAGTTGAATTTGGGGCGATGGGGTACCATTTTCCTTTCCGCACCATGCTGCCTCTAGTGGGAATCCTGCGCTGAGCTGCAGAGCTGTTGTGGAGAGTAGGGCCAGATTCTGTGTCCGCCTCTGGCTGAGCGTGCCTACTCTCCACAAGTGTCTGGGTTTCTGTATCTGTACATGTCATTTTGTGTGTCTGTAAATAGGCAGTCCTGTTGGTTTTCTAGTTGAACTCACATTGCTTTGGGGGAGGGGGTACATGCTCATCCACTTCATGTACTCATGGACTCCTTAAAAACAGAGAGCTGTGCTTATTCTGCTTTCATACGGGAACTGAGGCTCAGATAGATGAAGACCTTCACCCATGGCTACACAGCTAGTAAGTGGAAGTGCCGGGGTGTAACTGGGGTCTGTGTGACTTCTCAACCAGCTCCTCCTAACAAAGATGCCATAACACTTTACTCCATGCAGTTTGGTCATATGATCATGTCACCCTTCTTTGGAACCAACTGTTAAGTGCTTTAAATTATTGACTTTTTAATAAATAGTACCAGATTCAAGATTACCTGTAAATAACGTCACTGTCAAGCACTCAGGCTCCCTTGTAGGGAAATTGGTTAGAGCCCACAGCTTACCTGAAGTTTAATGAACAGGTATGTCAGGTGGGGTGCTGGCTGCCTGGTAATGTCTGGTGGGGTGCTGGCTGCCTGGTACTGCCTAGAGGCCTGCTTCTGCCTCATTTGCTTAAAGCCACCTTTGACTAAAAAAGTAGTTAAATTTGAACTTAAGATACACAACATAATTTTTAGTGTAGCATAGTAAGTGTTTAGTGTAAATATGTATGAAGATGGCATATACTGAGAAATTACTCACTGTTTATCTGATACTCACATTGAACTGAGTATCTGTATTTTATGTGGCCGCCATGTCCCTGGGCTCTGCAGCCTCCAAACTTCCCTCCGTCTCCACAGGCCGAGCTCCTAGTACTTTCTGAGCCCTACTTAGCTTTTCCTGAATGAGCACCTCTTGTCTTTACGCTTCAGTGCTCCCTGAAGAACAGGGTCAAGATTGCCCTTGGACCTGCTGAGGACCTGTGAGGTGCATACGCCCATCCCCCCCCCCCCAGGTGTACGACAGTGGCTGCAACTGTATAGTTTGTGCTGAGCATGTTGCACAGGGACATGTGAGCTTCTCTGGTCCATGCTAGGTCTTTGAGTACATTTTCACAGGTGTTACAAAGCTTGTGGTATGCCTTTTGGCATGGGGAGTGGGTCAGAGGTTTGTGACCCGCTTTAATGGGCCCTGGGAACGATGGTAAACCCAGGCTTGGCAGGGGCAGTGCTGGTGGAGGACCTTGCCGGTATGTAGATATGGGTGTGCGTATGAGTGTATAACAAAATGAGGATTATCAGCCACGTGGAGAAAATCAATGCAGGACCCAGTTGGTAGGGATGGGGTAGGACAGTAGGAAGGTGCTGTAGCTGAGTGGCAGAGGAGTCCCCGAGGGCAGTGATAGGATTTTCACATCTCTCAGCAGTCTGCCAGGAAAGAGAAGGCCTCAGCGGGACTAAACTAAGCCAAGTGAAAACCAGAGAGAGAGTTTAGCAAAGTTGTGAGGGACCACAGAGTTTGAGAAGTTGCTACTTTCCCATGGGTAGTGGGCATCAAAGAAGGTTCTTATGCAGGTAAGTGACATGAGCTAGTAGGAGTTCATCTTTCCACCTGGTGGGAGCAAGACATGGGGCCAAGGGAGCCATTGAGAGAAACTATAGGAGAAATGTAGGTTGAAGGATCTTGAACCTTCTTCCCTCAATGGGGCCTAGGCTCCTGAACCAGAACCCTGTTGTTCACCTCTCTAGTGGCAAGCTTAGTGATGTTGCCCTCACTAGCCACATTGACGCTCATGGATTGCCAAAATGCTGGGATACACCCTGCCCCACCCCCATTCTCCTCTTTTCCAGCTTCCTCTTGAATGGGGTTAGTGACTTCAATCCTGGACTCTGCCTGGAAGGCTTCCATTGACTTCATATGTGACCTTGAACAAATCGCTGCTCTCCTCTCTGTCTTCACCTCATTAGCATTTGGGCTGACAATCTCCACCCTTCTCACCTGGGAACCCAGGGTGTCCAGAATACTTGAATTGCAGTCTCCCTTTCTGGAGGGCTACCTGCAAGGAGGCAACAAAAGGAGAGGCAGGCCCACCTGTGGGCTTCAAGGTTAGGTGGGTGAGGAGGGAGCAGAGGGTGGGTCAGAGCAGGGCCATGGAGGGTGGTCTGGTCACCCCATCCCCAGAACAAGCAGTAGAGCAGAGGGAGAGAAACCTCAGCTGGGGCCATGCCCTCTACAGACATGGTAGGGAGGATTTTCCCAGGGAGACCTGCCTGGCTTTGTGCTGTGGAGACCTTGCCAGATGGGCTCCTCCAGGCTTGAGGAGGCAGATTAGGGGCACCTAGTCCCCTAGCACCTATGTGTACTGTTCTGCATGGTAGGGTGCCTGGCTTTGCTGGACCTCTGGTCCTGCCTGCTGAACTCTGTCTCTCATTTTATTTTCTCTGGCCATGTGTCTTTCAAACCCTGTCTCCACCTGTGCAGCCCTCCAGGTGATTCATCCTCCTCAACCCCACACCCAGGGGGAGGGCAGGGCAGGACGGGGCCGGGATGTGCTGAGCTGGGCAGGCTAAGCAGCCCAGCTGAGTTGAGGTGGAACACTTCCTCCCTCTGACCTGTCTGCTCAGGTGGGAAAGGAAGTGAGGAGACTGCACCCAAAGCAAGGTACAGGGTGAAGAAGGGGGTTCAGCTTGGGACCTGGGCACCATGTTCCCTTAGGGCTGGGAGGGGACTATGACCTGAGGCCTACCTGGCTGAACTGTGGCCAGGGTGTGGTCAGGGACCCTGGGAAGCTCCCAGAGCCCTGTGGGTTGGGCTACTCCTTCCCTTTAGGATTGGAAGACCTAAAATTCCCTGTGACTCTGCCTTTGTGACACCATAGGGTGTCTCCATGTGCTTTGTAATTGTGTGTTTTCACAACAGATGCTATATGTAATACCATGACTATTTAGACCAAAAGGCAAGTGTCAGGTGTATATGTGTGCCTGAGCCCATAAGACTCAGGGACACCATGGACTTGTGTCTAATAAATACGACACAATAAATTATGCCATGTGCCTACAGTTGTGTTTCTGGGTATGTGATTGTGTATGACTTTGTGTTGTATTGCCATTGTGTGAGGTTGTATCTGACCTCACATAATTTAATCACCCTGTGTGGCTTTAGTTTTTGAGATTGTGGAAACAGCTTATAGTTGTCTGACCCTGCCATGCCATATTATGGTATGTATTAAACTCTGTGACCCTGAAACTGTGAGACACAGTGTAAATGACACTGTGTATCTTTGTGATTCCACGGATCCATGTGTGAGGTTGAAAGTGGGTATATGGTAGTAAGTGGCTGGGTGATTGTTGTGTGAAGCTGTGTTGACCAGGCTACCTCTGTGTGGCTGTATTTCTGGGCTGTGTGTGACCATGTTTTCCGATGCATGTGATACTGTGAGGATATATGAGATTGTGACTGTGACCAGACTCATAGGAATGTGATAGCATGTAACTGGATATTTGAATTTGAATCAACAGATGTGTGAAACAGTGTAAATAAGTCTGTGACTGAGTAGGCCAATTTGTGACTGCTCTCACATTAGACGTAGGTCACAGGGTAATAGGCCTTCTGTAGCCGTGTGGATATGGCACAGCAAAGCCAGTACCACACGCACTGGGAACTTGGGAGTCCTTTGCCTGCTACTCTCTCTGGGCTTCAGACCTGCATCCTGGCCTTTCAGCCCACAAGGTATCTGTGTGGCTCCACAGCCTGCCATGCAGAGCTTGTTCTCTCCATTCTTGTTCCATCTTCCTCCAAGCCATCCCACCTCCCCCCACTCCTCTCTCATCTGAGACCTCTTCATATCTCATTGCCCAGCCAGGCCCACCTGCCCCTGACACTTGCTACCTGGAATATAACATACCAGGGGGATCCCTCTCTGCTTCCTAGACCAGGTTCCCTCTCCTAAGTGTAACCATCAGCTTCCCTGGGACCAAAGCAGAGGTGGGTTAAAAGAGCCCACAACGAGGGCAGTGGAACAGCACAAAAAGATTTCCCCCTTTTTTTTTTTAATTCGTTGCTTGCTATTTTAAAGTTGTTCCTCTGAACTCACTCTGATACTGGGTATGTGTAGATGTGTAGTAGAGTGAAAGTAGAGGAAGGTAGTACAGGGTTAGTGAGAAGCTGGGATTTTGTGAAGCAAAACTTTTGTTCATGAAATATAGTTTCACTATTTTCACGCATGCTCAGCTGTATAAAATTATAACCAAAGAAGTCCGCCTATCCCTAGGACTTTAAGAAACAGGGTGAAGAAGGTTTAGGCTTGGCATAGCTACTGGAGCTATAGAAACAAGAGCTGCAAATGAGTCCACAAACCCACTCCTAACCTGCTTATACTTCATAATAGTAAGACCCGCTGACATACCAGGAATCAATGTATTAATCACAAAGAAGAACTCTTGTCTATCAATGACAACAGCCAACCACAGCCTGTGGCTTTCCATCCGAGGGCTTGGGTATGGGTTTACCAGAAAGTCAGTGTGGCCAAGAGAGGGGCGCAGGGAAATCCCACACCCCAGGTGCCTTCTAAGACATGTGACTACCAGTCCCCTTTAGGGTAAAGTCAGTAGCCATACCCAGTTTTTCCCTTTATGCAGGACTACACCAGGGAAACCGGATCCTGGTGAAAAGCTTGTCCCTTGACCCTGGTCAGAGCCTTGAGCCTCACCCAGAAGGTCCCCAGCGGCTTCGCTCAGACCCAGGCCCCCCCACTGAAAGCCCCAGCCAGCGTCCTTCACCACTGAAGAGGGCACCAGGCCCAAAACCACAGGGTAAGTGATTCAAAAGAGGGGCAGGGAAATGGCCTGGGAAAGGGGACAGAGGAGGTTGGCCAGTAGCAGAGGAGAACATTTGTGAGAACTGTGAGCATCATTGTATAGGAGCAGAGGACTATGGCCTAGCTAATATGCACATACTAGGATTTGACCTCAGAATTGGTCTGTGCCTATCTGGGCAAAGGTGCAGATGGGGATTTGTGAAGGGCTTGTGGCCTGTTCATGACAGCCACTTCCCAGCCCAGCTCACTGGTATCCCCCCTTCCCTATCCATTTCTCCAGTGCCCCCGAAGCCCAGCTACCTACAGATGCCCCGGATGCCCCCCCCACCTGAACCCATCCCTCCACCACCATCACGCCCGCTGCCTGCAGACCCCCGAGTGGCCAAGGGCTTAGCCTCTAGGGCAGAGGCCAGCCCCAGTTCTGCAGCAGTGTCTTCATTGATTGAGAAATTTGAAAGGTGAGTCTGGTCCCTTGAGGACCCTGGGGGTAAGGGTGTGCCTGGGACAGGAAGGACAATCATAAGACAGGCCTCTTAGTAAAACTTATATCTTGTCTCTATGTGTGTCCATCAACCACCTCAGAGAGCCTGTGATTGTTGCCTCGGATAGGCCAGCCCCTGGCCCCAGCCCAGGTCCCACAGAACCAGCCATGTTGTCACAGCCACCCCCACAGCCACCAGTGCCCCAGCTCCTTGAGGGTGAGGCCTCCCGCTGTCTGTTCCTGTTGGCTCCTGGGCCTCGTGATGATGAGAAAGTGCCCAACCGGGACAGTGGCATTGACAGCATCAGCTCACCATCTAACAGCGAGGAGACCTGCTTCGTCAGTGATGATGCCCCCCCCAGCCACAGCCTCTGCCCTGGGCCCCCTGCCCTGGCCAGTGTCTCTGTTGCTTTGGCTGACCCCCACCGGCCTAGCTCCCAGGAGGTTGATAGTGATCTGGAGGAGGAGGACGACGAGGAAGAGGATGAGAAGGACAGAGAAATCCCGATGCCCCTGATGGAGAGACAAGAGTCTGTGGAGGTACTGACTCGTACACCAAGAGAAAGGACCATGTGGTTTTTATGCTTGGTTTTCCCTCCAGTTCAGTATTTCTCAAAACAGGGTGTTGTTTCCACTTTGAATGTTTATCCTCCCTAGTATCCTGCCTACCCCCTTTAGTCACTGACTACCAAAATGACCATGTACAGTTCCAGGTATCCACAGGGAAAGTTGTTCTACTCCCACCAGAGAACCATTAGACAAACCTCTGTTTTTCTGTCTCGAAGATGGACACTCTGGATAGAGATCTTTAAAGTCCTGTTCCAGCCAGAAAATCCAGTGACTTGGTAGCTATGTGATATTGGGCAAATCTCTCCCCTCTCTGCTCCCCCACCGCAAGCCTCTGTTTCCTTATTTGTAAAAGGAAAGCCTGTGATAGGCAGAGAGACATCCTGACCTTCAGCGGGGCACCAGAGCTAGAGTACTCCAAGAACCTGAGGCAGTGGGGGTGAAGGCAGCAAGAACCCCTTTCCGTGTCCTGACAGCCTGACGCTGCTTTCAAAGGCCCTTGCATCTGAGTTAGGCCCCAGCCAGAGTACTGTGCTCCCCCTGAACCCAACTCCAATGTGAGGGTTGAGGCCAGGGACTCAGCAAACATGTATGCAATGAACTGGGCTAACAGGTAATGAGTTTTATACATTTTTATACTTTTGTGTTTTCCTAACACCCTAGGTACTCAGCAAGCCATTGCTAAGAGTGGGAGAATAAATAACCAGCATTTGCAGACTGCTTAACCTGCAGTCAGCTGTGCCTTATTTATGTTTAATTGTTTTCTTGCAAATGGTTTAGATCCTATTATTATCTGTATTTGTAGATGAGGAGACTTAAATACAGAGCAGTTACATAATTTATGCAAGCTAATGAATTGGCAGAGCTAGGATTTGAATCCAGGAAGTCTCACTTCTTGGCTCATATACTTACACTGAGTAAAAAGAAAGGATAATGATTGGGTGAAAGAGGAGCTGAGTAAGGGAGTATACATATTATCAGAATTGAGGGGGGACATTATAATGCACTGGCAAGTCAGGGATGAACTTGGTGGCCTATGGGTCCACAAATGGGGGTGAGGTTATATTGGGCTAGAATTGAGCTTAGAGCTGTTGAGCTGTTTTGAGAATTATGGGGGCTTGGGTGAGGGTCAGGATATAGGATGATGGATTAGCAGTTGCGTCTTCTCCTTTCCAGCTGACCGTGCAGCAGAAGGTTTTCCACATTGCCAATGAGCTCCTGCAAACTGAAAAGGCCTATGTGTCCAGGCTTCATCTCCTGGATCAGGTGAATGGCCCCTTGAGGGTCCTGGGGTGCCAGGTCCTGGGAGGTGGGTGCCAAAGAGAGAGTGATAGGGCCTGAGAACAACCCTTCCACTGGGGCTAGGATCCAGAGTTTGTTAGGCCCCTCTCTGATCTTAGCCCCTATTCTGTCCCTGAAGCCAACTCTGATTATGCTTCATCTTTTCATCAACCCTCATTCTTAATCCTGGCCCAAGGGGACACTAACCCTGACTGCAACTCTGACTCAGATCCTGACTCTGCTCCTGACTGTGAACCAGAACATGCACTTCATTTTAACTGTGACCCTGTTCCTGACCCCAAACCCACTAGAATTCGGAGGGTAGGGACTTCTGTCTGCTTCGTTCACTGCTCTTTCCTTGCCTCTAGGACTGTTCCTGGCATACTGTAGGTACTCAAGAACATTTGTTAAATGAGTGGATCTAATTCCAATCTTATCCCTGACCCTGAATCTAATTCTGACCTTGACCCTGATCCTGACTTACTGTTTCAATGCCTCCTCCAGGTCCCAATGTTGACAACCTAAAATCCAATTCTACATATAAGCCTAACTCTATTCACTCTCTCTCCTGTCTCAAGACAAATGCTGATCAGAGCTCTACAGATTTGCCCACAAATACTGCCCTCACCTGCAAGCTGCCCCTTCTTCAGTCAAGCCCCAGGCCCAGCTGGCTGAGTACTCCTGCCCTGCCCTACAGGTGTTCTGTGCCCGGCTGCTGGAAGAAGCTCGGAACCGCAGTTCCTTCCCGGCTGATGTTGTCCACGGTATCTTCTCTAACATCTGCTCCATCTATTGCTTCCACCAGCAGTTCCTGCTGCCTGAGCTAGAGAAGCGCATGGAAGAATGGTGAGGGACCCCAGATCTAGGCTGCCCATTGTCTTGTCCACTTGTCTACCAACCCCAGCTGGATATGTGCATGAGAGTTCACATATCACATTCCTGCCTGCCGTCTCCTCTTTCCACCTTTCACAAAAAGAATCAGCCCCAAGCTCTGCCTGCTAGGGCCCCCCAATATGATATTAAACACAGGCCATTTCTCAAAAAAATAACAACAAAGTAGCTTAGCCCTTTAGAGTGTGAGGTTAGTAGCCAAATTGGCCGGGTTCAAATTTCAACTCTGCCTCTTGCTCTCTTTGTGACATTAAGCCAATTTCTTAAAGTATTGTGCTTCAGTGTCCTATTCTATTCCAGTCCATCCTTTAGAGTCTATGCCACCTGCCATTATGGTCTTTCTAAACAATAAGATCTTATCACCTCCTGCTTTAAATCATCACTATACTCCTTATTCTCGCAGGATAAAGTTTGTGTCACCAGACTATGAACACACAGAGCTTGTGTGAAGTCAGTTCCTATATCTCCCCAGTTGGCTGTGACCTCTGAAGGCTGGACTGGGCATGGCTCTGGGGATTTTCCTGAGGATTTTAGTCTAAGTGGTAAAAATAGGGAGGTCAGCTTAAGATTTGGGGCTGAGGAGCCTATTGAACTTACCAGCAGACTGATCTATGATGACTGGGACCAAGCCTGGGCCTGTGTCTACCTCAGTATACTGGGACCAGTGAGTATGGGTACCAGCCTGGTTCAAAGTGAAGAGTGTGACCAGGCCTCATCACATTGCCTCCCTTACCAGACAGCGACTCTCTCAGGACTCAACTGAGTGTGACTCATGTGTCCCTAGGATCACCTAGCACAAGGCTGGGCACAGAATCAGTAAGTATGAAGTGGCACTTGTAGTTCGGTCGGAGCAGGTATCCCAAAACATGTTGTTCAGGTGTCTGAGCAGGGCAGAGCTGGGGAGGTTGGCATCCCAGGCTGTGATCTCAGGTCAGATCAAGCCTCTTGGCCTACTTGGCCTAACGTAAGCAGCATTTCAAAAGGAGCTGACTAACTGAGAAGTAGATTACTAGGACTGAAATAAGAGCAGCTTCTCTGGGGCTGGAGATGAGGATAGAAGATAAGGATAGGCAGGGCCATGTCAGCCCCTGCTTTCACTCCAGGGACCGCTACCCACGCATAGGAGACATCCTGCAGAAGCTGGCACCCTTCCTGAAGATGTATGGCGAGTATGTGAAAAACTTTGACCGGGCTGTGGAACTGGTCAACACCTGGACAGAACGTTCCACTCAGTTTAAAGTGATCATCCATGAAGTGCAGGTAAGCAGAGAATTGGATAAGGTTGACTGGGAGGGCAGGGTACCCAAACACCCAGTGGGAGGATCTGTGGCTAGACGAGCCCCTCTGCTTCTGCCTGTCACAGAAGGAGGAAGCCTGTGGCAACCTGACATTACAGCACCACATGCTGGAACCCGTGCAGCGCATCCCTCGCTATGAGCTGCTTCTCAAGGACTATCTGTTAAAGCTGCCCCATGGCTCCCCGGACAGCAAGGACGCCCAAAGTGAGTGCAAACACCTGCTGCCCTCCCTGACAAAACTTAACTTTCAGGGTCAGCCTTTGATTACCACATAACTGAGATACCAAAATAGGATCTCCAAAGTGAAAGGGCTACATTGAGTTCTAGAATAAGATTCCAGGATGAACTTCCAGGTTGAGATTTTTGCCTGAGTGCCCAAAGTATTCAGGAGGAGTTTCCTAGTCCGAACTTTCCAGCTAGAATCCCAGAGTTTGTACAAAAATGCTCCCCTACAGGGAGACATACATCTCCCAAGAACTAGATCTATAGAAATTTTGAGAACTGAACCAACAGACATCTGTGAACAGAGTACCTCATACCTATTTCTGATACAACCCTCCACTCAGGTACTAGGATGAACTACATGAACTAAAATTCTGGGAAAAAGTCTTCTAGCCTTGTTCCTGGGATAAGCCCCATGAGATCTCCAACCTGAGCCCTCAGGCTGAACTCAGTCTAAGGTCCCAGTCATAGATTCCCCCATATTAAGTTTCCAAGACTGGACTCCAGAATGCTTTTCCCACCCTGAGCTCTGAGAGTGGGGTCTCTCTCAGGGCTCTCAGTTCCAAAGGAAGATTACCCCAAAAGAGCTTCTGAATCTGACCTCTTTGGCTACCATTCTACAGTCAAGCCAAGTACCCTTAGATGAATCCCCCCTTTAGTCTCTCTCAAACTAAAACTTCTAGCTCAGAACAAAAGATAGACTCTCCAGTTCCATTACACAGACTGAAGCCATTGATTGATCCATCTGATTGGATTCCTTGAGTTCCCCAGTGTGAACTCCAAAGTGAAACCTAAGGTTGAGCTGCCCAGACTGAGCTTGAGATTGTTTTCCCTAGCCCCAATTCCCTAGTCTAAAAACTTCTGTTTTCCATCCCTCTCACTGAGCCGTAAGACTTTTGGCTTAAACTGTCCCCCAAATTAAACTATCCAGGACAGTCTCTGACTTTGAACTCCCTAGCCTCAACTCCCAGACTGACTTCCCAGACTGAACAAGCACTCTGCTTTCTACCTCCCAGATAATGGGTTCACAGATTAAGATTACTAGGCCTCTAGACTAGATCCATACTCAGACTTGGGAAGGACACCTCACTGCCTCTCTGTCTCCACAAGTTATATTCCTGTGACTGGGGTCCCCGGAGAGGCCTCCCATCTCATGGCCATGATTACAAAGAATCGCATGTACACATTGAACTTCCAGGAATGTGTTATACAAATTTACTTCCACACTTGATTCCTAGCATGACATTCCTAAACTGAAATTCCCCAATTGTGCTCCTTGGACTAGACCCCCAAAGTGAGCTACCAGTGTAACTGGGCCTGAGATAGAATGCTGTTGGTTTATTTATTTATTTTTTTTTTTTTGCTGTTGGTTTATTTTTTAAAGATTTAAAAAATTATTTATGCATACAAGAACAGGGGTGTAGGCCAGAGATCGGGGAGGTTTGAGAGGGTTCACCAGAGACAGAGTGGGGAGCAGGACAGGTAGATTGACTGAAATATACTGCTGAGGGGAGTAACGGACAAGACAGGGGAGGTCTGCTGCACCATTTGGGTGACCTCCCTGGCTGGGGAATAAACTGATGCTGCAGTGGCTGTGGAGAGCTTCATAGTGCTGTGCTTTGACCCATGGCTTGGTATGCTGAGACTTAACCCTTTGCACCACCGGGAAGGCCCTGTTATTTTATTTTTAACCCACTCTTTATCTCTGAGCAAAAATGCTCAGCCTCATTTTTCTCATAGGATGAGAGTGATAATGACAACTACCTTAATGACAACTACCTTATAGAGTTGTTTGGAGGATAGATAAGATAATTCAGGTAGAGATTTTAACATGGTGTATGATAAAGGCTAAATGTTAGCTGTTTTTATCACTAAATGTATTTGGCTCATGCCCTCCATATTGAATGCCTCTAAGAATCAGCCCTAGATTGAGTTCCTAAAATTTAGGCTCTGTTTAATACTCATCTCAGCTCGGCGTCCCCAGAGGGAACCTCAGAGCTAGAACTTGTTCACCTGAGCTCCCTATACTGAGCCCAAAAATGAAATCCCCAGAAAAAAAAATCCCATACTGGCTTTCTGAGCTGTTCAGGATGAAATATCTGAAAGAGAGTCAACCAGAGATGTGCTCTGTAGGCACCTCAGCCCAAGATCTTAAGCTGACCTCCCTGTTTTTTACCCCTCAGACTATAATCTCCTTGCAGAGCCCTAGAAAGGAACTCCAGATCTGAGTCCCACTGATTCATTCCTGTAGTTCCCCAAACTAACTCCCCTACTGTCTACTTCCCAGACTGAACTCTGGAACCTAGACCCTAGACTGGGCTCCTCAAACAAGGATAGGTGGAATTCCTGGCCTGAATTGCTTACCCTGAATCCGAGACTGAACTCCAAATCAAGATCCCAGACCAAAGCCTTGAGACCAAGCCCATACACCGAGCTCCCCAACCTTTACTCCTTAGCCTGAACCAGCAAATGAAACCCTATACTGACATCCCCGCACTGACCTCCCAGTCAGAGCCTACATACACTGAACCCCCAGAAATGCCAGTCTACCCCATGTAAGCTAGCTCCAGACAGAGTTCCTGATAGCTAGCAGGGTCTCTATTCTAAGGTCAGCAGGCTACACAGGTCTCAGCTTCTATGCCAACAGCTTGCCAGAGCCTTTTTGCTATTATCTTCCCTGGGTACCTCCTACCTCTGCCACCCCTGTTCTGGGGTGTGGGCCATGCTGAATGTATGGGAGAAAAGGCAGCTGGGAGAGCAGTCCAAGTTTTGACACATTTGACAAAAAAGGCACATTCACATTAATCTTAATAGGATTATTGTGAAGACCGAAGGAGCCAATTTATACAAAACATCTGCTGAGAGACCATGGAGAGGGTAGTAGGAACTTGACTCCATCTGAGGGAGCTCCTAATCTACTGAAGGATACAAATGCAGATATGTAAATGCACAACGAACACACAGTGCAACTAATGGACAGAGCCAGCAAAGGGGAATGTAGGAACCCAGACCCTAACCTAACCTGGGAACTAAGGGTAGGCTCACTAGAAGGTGGTCAGGTGAATACAGCAGACTGAGTGACAGTTGGCCAGATGAAACAAGATAGAATATATGGAAGGAGATGCACATCACAGAGTTCTAACCACTAAACAATCACAGTGTAGGTAGGTAGGTACAAGTGGAGAAAGATGGGAAGGTCAACAAAAGCCAGATTACCGAGGATTTTGAATACCAGGCCAAAGGTCTGGGTCTTTGTCCTTTAGGCATGGGAGAGCATTTGACAGGTCTGAGCAAAGGAATGCTAGAAAGTGCTTTCAAACAGCTGGCACAAAAGAGAGCGTAGAGACTAGTGCCCAAATGGCCTAAGCTGAAATGGGCCATAAGTATTGAGCTCCAAGATAGGTCATGGATGAAGACCCTCCTGGAAAAACAAGATGTAGTTTCCAAGCAGATGGATCATCTTCAGAGGCAGCTGTGAAAATCTAGCATCATACAAACAAAGAGTGGGTTACAGTGCAGCTACAGCTGGGCATCGAGTATGGGTAGGATTTTTTAGTGTGTGAGATAGAGAGACTCATTCCTGATGATACCTGGTCACTATAGGAAATATGGATATTACAGGGGAAAAAAAAAAGCAAAAGAATCATCTGTGATACAGGTCCCCAGAGAATAAATACAAACATCATTTTGACATGTATACTTTTCCTGGTGTTTTTCATACTCTTGCAAATTTGAGATCATTCAATTTATATAAATTTGTGCACTTCTCTTTTTTAAAAAAAGATTTATTTATTTATGCATACAAGAACTGGAGTACAGGCCAGAGCAGTATGGAGAAGGAGTCACCAGAGACAGAATGGGGAGCAGAACAGGTATATCAACTGAAATATACTGCTGAGGGGAGCAGTGGGCAGGTCAGGAGTGGTCTGCCTTGCCTTGTGGGTCACCTCCCTGGGCGGGGATTGAACTCATACAGCAGTAGCTGAGGAGAGCTTCATAGTGCTATGCTTTAATCTGTTTAAAAGGGAGGGCCTGCCCTTTTTCTTTTCTTAAAAATCTTGAGCATTTCCCAGATTGAGAAAAACAGTACATAAACATCATTTGGAAAGGTTGTTTACTATTCTGTTACGTGGATGCACATTAATTTGTTTAACTGAACCCACATTAATTTATTTAACTGAACCCCTATATTGGGCATTTTTGTTTCTAGTTTGACACTGTTACAAACACCACTGCAATGAAAGGCATTTCTCTGAGTGGGAAAATCTAGCACCATACAAAGAATGTGGTACATTGCAGCTGCATATTCACAGTATGGGTAGGATTTGTTAGTGTATAGAGAGATACATACACACTTACACATGATGTAACTAAGACTTAGAGATAAGTGGCTTGCTTAAGGTCAATGAATAGAAGTGTCTCCCATGCCTACTCACAGATAAGAATTAAAGTTTATTTGTACATAGAAAGTGTGTAGATTCACACAATCAGAATTATTGGGACAAAGAGTAGGATTATCTCTATTTCTTCATGACTTTTACAACATGTTCTTTGTCAAAAATATGGAAAATGTAGAAAAATCTAAAGAAGACAATAAAAACCACCCCAAGTCCTACCAGAGACAACTTATGAAACATGGATATGTTTTATTCCATTTACATGTGCAGCTATTGTTGTTACTTTTAATGCTAATAACAATCTTGTAAATTTGTTTTATTGACTGCCAACTAGTCCATGTACCACGATTCTGCTCTGTGACACTGATACAGTTTCTGATTTTAAGTGATAATACTATATACATCGGGTTTTTTTAGATTTATTTATTTATGCATACAGAAACTGGGGTACAGGCCAGAGGTGCAGGGGTGGTGAGAGGATTCACCAGAGACAGAGTGGGGAGCAGAACAGGCCGACTGACGAAGTCCACTGCTGAGGGGGGCAGCGGGCAGGTCCGGAGAAGTCTGCTGCGCCATGTGAACAACTCCGGGGCTGGGGATCGAACTCATGCCGAAGTGGCTTTAGCTTCTTAGTGCTGTGCTTTAACCTGCTGCACCACCAGGGAGGGCCCCTACTATGTACATCTTTAAAGCTCATGCTTTCTTGGTTGGGAAGCTTGTGCTCAAGACAAGAAGAGGTGTCAAGGTGCAGAGAAATCCTCCAAGAGTCTCTTCTGTGTTAGCCCCCCCATCTGTACTCTCACTCTGTGTCCACAGAGTCTCTGGAGCTGATAGCTACAGCAGCAGAACACTCCAATGCTGCCATCCGCAAAATGGTGAGTGACCCTCTTAACCCTGACCTTCTTTGGCCAGTGTATCTGTCCCTGGGAGCTTATGACTTGTTAATATTTGAGGGGAGGCCTGCCCATCAGCTCTGCCTTTTGCTTACTATCTCCTGTCAGGAACGAATGCACAAACTTCTGAAAGTATATGAACTACTCGGGGGTGAGGAAGACATCGTCAGCCCCACCAAAGAGCTCATAAAAGAAGGCCACATCCTTAAGCTGTCAGCAAAGAATGGGACAACTCAAGACCGATACCTCATACTAGTAAGTGCTATGTATGGGGTTGTGGGTGCACTGTGCCCACTCCACCATACACACACACTGACCTGGGATTCACTCATGACTGTACCTCCTGCTGGCCACTATTTCCTCAACTAATTAATTGTGTCATCGTGACCTATACTAGAATATTTTTTTTCTCGACACATGATGTGACTAAGACGTAGAAGTGACTCGCCCACTTAGGCTTTTTCCTGGCAATCTTTGTGCCTATTCTGGAAGATGTTTTCTCCATCTATAGCCTTGAATCTCCAGCAATAAAGCTTCAGGAGTTCCATAAGGGTAGGGAGCTGGGCCACACCCCTCCCAGGTCCTCTGCACACATATCCCAACCTTTTCCTTCCTAGTTCAACGACCGCCTCCTTTACTGTGTGCCCAGGCTGCGGCTCCTTGGCCAGAAGTTTAGCGTGCGGGCACGCATTGATGTAGATGGCATGGAGGTGAGTATCAGGAGGTAGAAAATAGGGAGCTGGTGTGAAGTCTAAGTGCTGGGAAGAACAAAGTCACACTGACTTTGACTTCAAGTATGTGTGTGCATGAGTGCAGAGGGTAAGAATTCTGTGGCACTCAGTAGGCCTCACTGAGCCTCTCTCTCCCTCCATTCAGCTAAAGGAAAGCTCCAACCTCAATCTGCCTCGGACCTTCCTGGTGTCAGGAAAGCAGCGTTCCCTGGAGCTCCAGGCCAGGTACTTGCCTTTGCCTCTACCTTCCTTCCAGAGCCCTCTTCCCTTCAGAAATGCTAAGACTTTCTAAGCCAGATCTACTTCCCTAAGGAAAAGGTGGTCCAGAGAAAGAGTGAGCACCCTTCCCCAAATATGCAGGCATGCTTTTCTGGTGGTTTTGTTGGAGAGGACAAATGGACTATTAATCTGAACATGAACAGCAACATAAATAGTTTACTGTAGATTCAGAGAATTAAGAAAATTAACTGCAACCATATATAATATTTGGCCCATGAGAGGACCCTGGCTTAAGAAAAACAACCCGAAGAGAGAGAGATTTGCAGCACAACAGGGGAAATTTGAATGTGAATTTGAATATTTCATATTGGGGAATAATTGATAACTTTCTCTGATGTGATGGTAGTTATTACGAGAAAGGCCGTGTTTTTGGTGGTGCCTGCTGAGGATTTAGTGTTACCATATGTTTTTACATGGTTAATCAACCAAAAATACATACGTGCGCACACACACACACACACACACACACACACACATGAATGTGACAAAACATTAAATTTTTTTGCCCCTGTATGGTGGATATAGTTATTGCAGTTATGCTGTCTTGCTTTTCTGTATGTGTGAAATTTCCAAACTAAAAGAGAGAAATAAACATGGGCTGCAGGGTATCCTCCTAGAGGATGCCAGCTGGGAATTGGGTTTGAGGCTCTGGGAGACTGACGGAGTATCCTGGTTGGAGACCTGCAGTTGGAGAGATGGAGAAAAAGCACATCCAGGAGAGAGCAAGTGTAGGGCCGAATCCAGCTGTGCCTGAAGGACAGGCACAGACTTAGGGTCTGCTTGAGACAGGAACTGAGGGGGCTGTGGAGGACTGTTGGGCCCAGAGGGTGCAAGTACAGTGTAGGGTTCCCTCCTAGTGGCAGAGAGAAGACATGGGGAGTTTGGTTTGCAAAGGCTTTTACTGCCCTCAAAAGAAAAAGAAAAAAATTTGAACACCCAGAGAAGTAGATATGTAACAAATACCCATAAGCCCACCATTTAGACAACTGGTTCTCAACCTTGGTAACACAGCTCGGGAGCTTTTAGAAAATGGTGTCTGGGGCTCTCCCTGGTGGCACAACAGGTGAAAGCACCACATTATGAAGCTCTCTGAAGCCACTGCAGCGCGAGTTTGATCCCCAGCCAGGGAGGTGACCCACATGGCGCAGCAGACCTCTCCTGACCCGCCCGCTGCTCCCCTCAGTAGTGTACTTTGTCAATCTGCCTGTTCTGCTCCCCACTCTGTCTCTGGTGAATCCTCTCACTTCCCCTGCACCTCTGGCCTATACCCCAGTTCTGTAGGCACAAATAAGTAAATACTTAAAAAAAAATGATATCTGTGACCTACCCCAGGAAACTGTGATTAAATTTGTTTGGGATATAACCTGAATATGGGTAGCTTTCTAAATTCCCAGGTGATTTTAACATGCACACCAGGAAATAGAATCACTGACAAAAAATTAGTATCTGTTGACATTTTTCCATCTCACTCTTGATGTAAACTATAGATAAGACACTTTGCACCTACATACTTCAGCATGCGTCACCAAAACACTATTTTGACTCTTAAAAATCAAAGGTGTAATCACCTCAAAATCTATCCCTTTTTTCCCCCATCAGGCACTATCTCATCCTTTTTAAAGAGCTGAGTAGTATCCCATTGCGTATATATTCCATAATTGCCTTATCTAGTTGTCTATCAGAAGGCACTTAAGTTGGTTCCAAAGTATGATGGTAAACAATGCTGCTATGTATGTAGAAGTCCACAAATCTTTTTGTATTAGTATATTTTCAAATTATTTTTAAAAAGATTTATTTATGCATGCGTACAAGAACTATGGTACTAGCTGGAGGTGCAGGGGGTGAGAGGATTCACCAGAAACAGAGTGAGGGGGCAGAACAGGCAGATCCACTGAAATACACTGCTAAGGGAGCAGTGGGCGGATCAGGAGAGGTCTGCGGCGCCATGTGGGTCACCTCCCTAGCCAGGGGTTTTACTAATGCTATCGTGGCTGTGGACATCTTCATAGGGCTGCACTTTAACCCTTTGCTCCACCAGGGAGGCCCCTGCTTTCAAATTCTCTGAGCAAATAACCACAGTGGGATTACAGGATCATGTGGCATTTCCTCTTTTTTTTTTTTTTTTTTTTTTTTAAGGAATTTCCATACCTTTTCTCCAGAGAGACTGCACCAAATTACATTCCCACCAACAGTGGATGAGTGGTCCTTTTTTCTCCACATCCTTGCCAATAGTTGTGTCCCTTTTTTTGTGTGTGTGGGGGGGAGTATAGCCTATTATCACAGGGGTGAGGTGAAAGATCAATTGTAGTTCTGGCTTGCATTTCCCATGCAATAAGTGATGTTTTTATGAGGTGATTATGCTAAGTGAAATAAGTCAGAACGTGAAAGACAGTTACTTGATAGTCTCGGTCATTTGCAGAATATTAAATAACCAAAGAACGCAAACTGGTAAAACAAGAATAATTCTTAGACTGTGAAAAATATATAAGAGGGGCTGGGGTAGGAAAGAGGAAATAGATGAGGGACTGTGATAGGGTTGTAGCACTGGTGATTTGGTAAAGACAGTGACTGAGTCATGTGTACATATGGAGGTGTGAAGTTGTACTCCCGAAATCAGTTACAGAAATGAGTAGAAAGTCAATAGAGTTTGAGAGGGGGAAAACTGAATCAATACTTTTTACTGCAAAGAAATTATAAATCAGAAAATGTAAATTAAAAGAATTTTTAAAAAGAATAATACCATCAGGATAAAGTGAAATCCCATCCAGGGGTAACCAGTGCTGATGTGTTGACAGAATGCTTTCAGGCCTTTTCTCTATTCACATGTGTATGAATAGCTAAATGTAGAGATACATACAATGCTTTCCTTACATATTTTATTGTGAAAAATTTAAGGAATTGTACTGTAAGCACTTATAAATCTACCATATAGATTCCACTTTGTGTTAACATTATGCAGTACTTAGTTTATCACAAATCTATTCCTTCACCCACCCACCAATCCATCCAACTGATATTCTGATGCATTTCAAAGTAAATTATAAATATCCTCATCCCTAATGAGTTTTCTGTGCATTTCATTAATTAAATTTCAATATTTATTGAATATCCATTCTTTTATATCCATTGGGGTACATATTTTATTTGAACATGTTTTATAACCCTAGATAAAGAACCCCAAGATTTTCTCTCCTAAGTGTTTTTATCTTAGTCCATGATATCAGTTCAGGCTGTCAATACAATGAAACCAAACTGACAGGGATGAGAGCAGTTATTCTGCCATTTTTTTAAAGATTTATTTATTTATGCATACAAGAACTGGGGTACAAGCCAGAGGTGTGGGGGGTAAGAGGATTCATCAGAGACAGAGTGGGGAGCAGAACAGGCAAGTTGACTGAAATACACTGCTGAGAGGAGCAGTAGGTGGGTCAAGAGAGGTCTGCGGCGCCATGTGTGTCACTTGTTTGACCAGTTGGGAATCAAACTTGTGCTGCAGTGGCTACAGACCACCTCATAGTGCTGTGCTTTAACCCTATGTGCCACCAAGGTGGGCTCCTCTTTTTTTTTAATCTTTGAGTTGTAGATCAAATCTGGAACTGATCACACTTGTTTCATTTGCCTGTAAGGTTCATGACAATTTTCCCAGTTCTGTGATCAGCAATGATTTCAAATTCACTCCTGTAACAATGCTACATTATCAGAGTTAGAAACTATACAAGATTTTGGAGCATAGCCTAATGCTTTCCTTTTTAGGGTTATTGATGTTCTTGAGAGCATCTGCTAAGACATTCTTGTGCACCATTATGGCAGGAGGAAAGATCCTCCTTCTGTTTAGGCAAAATTTTCATACAGTGAAATACACAGGTCTTAATGGTATCATGGATGAGTTTTGACAAGTGTAAACACTCATGTCACATACATGCTTTTTTTAAAAAATGGAGTGTTTGACTGGGTTGTCGAAAAAGTCATGATATATTTTTTTGTTTTTCAAAAAAAAAAATACATCATGACTTTCCCAACAACTAGGTATGTTATACTCAAAACTATCATGTTATAAAGTTTTCTACATCATTAATATTCTCTGGCAGTAATGATGTAATGATGTGGTGTCACTTCTTGTTCACCTGATCTCTTTTTTTTTTTAAGATTTATTTATTTATTCATACATATAGAGCTGGGGTACAGGCCAGAGATGAGGAGGGTGAGAGGATTCACCAGGGACAGAGTGGGGAGCAGAACAGGCAGATTGACGAAGTACACTGCTGAGGAGAGCAGTGGGCGAGTCAGGAGAGGTCTGCCTCGCCATGTGGATCTCCTCCCAGGCAGGCGGGGATTGAACTCATGTGGAAAAGGCTTAAGCTTCTTAGTGCTGTGCTTTAACCCGCTGCGCCACCAGGGAGGGCCCTGATCTCCTTTTTTTGGGCAGCTTCTACTTCACTGTGGTAAATAGCATTGAAATGGTCATTCTTGTAGCTAAAAATTTTCACAAAGTGATTCTAAGAATGTAGTAAGATTTTCCTACTAGAAAATACATTTGATGTCTGGAATGTAGATGTGGATGGGGTATAGAAGAGCCTATGTCCAATACCTATCGAGCGGCACTGGGACAGGACCCTTGGAGACCACAGGGTAACAAAGTTGGGGAAGAGGAAACACACACTGATTGAGCGTGTAGCACACCAGGGATTATGTTGAGCATTTTACAAGTAACCTTATTACTACTCAGAATTACTGAGACTGATAATTACATTATCATCTCCATTTTAAAAATGGGGAAAATGAAAAAAAAAATTAACTGCCCTTTTTCTCAAACTTGATATTCCAGCAGCAAGATTTGTGACTTCTTATAAGTTTTATATTCATACACACAAACTTTACCCATACACCTCTACCTGAAGTCTAACACCTCCTTGAAGGAGCTTTCTTTAGCAACCCTCATCCAAATTCCAGGCTGGGACAGGGTTTCCCAGCACTATTTTCACTGTTATAGCACTGATACTCCTGGATTGTCCCTGTCTGTTCCCCCCACTAGACTGTGAGCTCAGGTTCCTCACACAGAGTCTGGAAGGTACTAGAAACTGTTGAATAAACCCAGACAGGCTATGTGACTTGAGTAATGTCACACAACTAATAAGTGAAGGAACAAAGTTAAGCCCAGTTCTATCTAACTACAAAACACCTGTTTTTTAAATCACTGTAATTGCTTTTGGTTGCCCTGCCTAATCCAACATTTTTCTTTCTTCCCCCTCCACCACCCCCCTGCAAAGGACTGAGGAGGAAAAGAAAGACTGGGTCCAGGTAACATCCAAGAAGGCTTTGCGGTAGGGGGCTGGAGGAATATTAACATGTCTCATAGATGTTGCACTCACCCCTAAAACTCATGTTAACAAAATGGGCCTGAATTGCTGCTTTCCAACAAAATTTACCATTCCAATTTTACAGATAAGCAAACTTCAGGTCCAGAGGTTAAACAAATCCTCAAATTTTTCCTTTAGAAAGTTAACTCCTCTGAGGCTGTAATCCCAGGGAGTTAAGCCTTATAAAATCATAAAAATCCAGAAAATGGCCAGGAAGTCCTTCTGAGATTTTTAGCCATTGCCTATCCTCAGCCTCAACCCCCATTTCACAGCTATAAAAACTGAGACCTGAATTTGGAAAAGGACTTTCTCAAAACTATATGCCTAGCAATGAGCAGAACTGAACCTAGAATCCAACATTTCTGACTGTAGGCTAGTCATTGGAAAAGTGAGGCAAAGATAAAAGTGGGTGGGATGTGAGATTGTGTGACCTTTCATCTCTTGCACTACCTCTCAGGCCATCAACTCCACTCTCATAAAGCATGAACAGACGCTGGAAACCTTCAAGCTATTGAACTCAACAAACAGGGAAGATGAAGACACACCCCCTAATTCTCCAGTAAGAGTTCTCACTGGGACCTTTTCTAGACCTCAAAGTCCCCCACCTTATTTGAGATTCTCCTTTCCCCTTCCCAGAGAGTAAGGACCAGATAGGCCAAAAGCAGTATTCTGTTGGTAGGGTCATAGAGAAATCACTGGAATACCAAGGCCCAGGAAGAAGTGACATACCTTCAGTAGCACAGTGAGGTAGGGATAGAAGCAGGATTCAAAGGCAGGTCTTCTGCATGTATCTACTCTCCCTTCCCCACCCAAAGTGATGCCCCAAACCTGGGTTAGGGGCAAGGGCTGGCTGGACTGGGCTGGGATGGGGAGTAGCTGTCTCTCACCTGGGACCTGGCCCTTTCTCCAGAACGTGGATCTTGGGAAGCGGGCACCTACACCCATTCGAGAAAAGGAAGTCACCATGTGCATGCGCTGCCAGGAGCCCTTCAATTCCATCACCAAACGCAGGCACCACTGCAAGGCCTGTGGACATGTGAGTGTCGGGAGGCAGGGGCAGAGCTAGGGAGGGGATAGACTGGCAGCTCAAAGACCCACCCTCTGTGTGTGGGACGGCTGCAAGTCCACTGTGGGAGTTGGCAAACTGCAAGAGAAGGCCTACTGGAAACAAGATGCTCTTGCCTATTTGACACCCCAGGTGGTTTGTGGGAAGTGCTCTGAGTTCCGGGCCCGCCTCATCTATGACAACAACCGTTCCAATCGTGTGTGTACTGATTGTTACGTGGCATTGCATGGGATGCCTGGGAGCAGCCCATCCTGTAGCCAGCATACACCCCAGCGCCGGAGATCTATCCTGGAGGTAAGAGTCATACTCCTAAACTTCACACATGCACACCCCAGGGCCTAGCCATCCACCCAGTGTGACTGAGGTGTGGGCGTCTCAGAAACCATAAGTTGTCATATGCATCCACTGAACAAGTGACCCAGGCTTGCAGTGCAAGAGTAAATGAAAGGTAGTAATCCACTTTAGATATTTGATTCTTTAGTAACTAAAATACCCATTTCATTATGTCTATTTTCAAATGAGGAAACTGAGGCCCAGAGATGTTGTTGCCCCAACTCACACAACCAGTGAGTGGCAGAGCTGAGTTTATTAAAAGCAACAAATTACCTACTCTTATTACAAATGTTAGGAATACTAAAGAAAATTAGATAATATAAAAATATTAAAAGCATGTTTTTTTTTTCCTATCCTGGGATTACTGCTCTAAACATTTACCCACCCTTTTTCTAGGCATTTGCACACAGGTTTTTTGTTGTTGTTGTTGTTGTTAAACCAAATCGAGGTATTTTTTACCATCTAAGGTGAGTGCTTATTCTGGCCAGGCACTATGAGGCGTACATATATTATTAATTTAATCCTCATATGTACTATGTGCTGCCCTTTGAAGTCAATGAATTTTCATCTAGAGCTGGGATTCTTAGCCACCCTGCCTTACCTATCCACCTGTCACCTTAGCCACAATGCTGAGTGGTTTCTCACTAAGTGCAAGGGAATGGATGTGTGATGAATCATGAATAAAAAGTGAGCAGTAAATGCAGACTAGAGTAATAAATGAACTGATGGAAGAAGGCCTGACTGGCATTTAGATGCCCCCCCATTGAGAGCTGTACCCCTTCCATCACTCTTAACTCAGCAGCCATGGCTCAAGTTCAGCAGACAAGCCTGGCTTTAAATTTACTGCTACACTGGGTGACACTGGGCAAGTCAGTCTGGCCAGATGAGCTTCAGCATCTTTATCTGGATGTGAGAACAACAACCCCTATGCTGATTGAGTGTTGAAGCCAAGAGGAGCCAGGCTGAGCTTTCTATCAACATTGATGCTCCCCATGTCTCTGGCTACAGAAACAGGCCTCAGTGGCTGCGGAGAACAGCGTCATCTGCAGCTTCCTGCACTACATGGAGAAGGGTGGGAAAGGGTGGCACAAGGCCTGGTTCGTGGTCCCCGAGAATGAACCCTTGGTGCTGTACATCTATGGAGCCCCTCAGGTATGCATCCTACTCCTTTGGGTCCTTTCAACCATTAACACTTACCCTCAGTGCTTCACCTCTCCCTGTCCTTGGAGAGGGTGAGCCTAAGGGGAAATCAGAAGCTCCCATGCTTGAGGCAGACTGGTTGGAGACAAGTGATTGTAGGCCAACAGACATAGGGGAAACTGGAGTAAATTGGGGGCCTAGCCTCCTGGAAGAAACTTTAGTGGGGACAGGACACTGATAGGTCAAGTTTGGAGTGAGGAAGAACAAGCAGATGGGACAATATGCTACTAAATACATTATTCGGTATATTGCTAGAGATAACTTGGTTTTGGATGTGTGTAAAAATAGGCATTTGAAACAGCCTCCATTCTAGCATCAGTTTAGACATTTTCCTCTTGCTATCGGTGACACAATATAAGGTTCTCAAGCATGGGAGAGAAAGAGTAGATACAAAACCAATGAAAAGCCCGGCCCCGAATTGACCCCTGTGTGTCTGTTCCACAGGATGTGAAAGCTCAGCGAAGCCTGCCCCTCATTGGCTTTGAAGTGGGGCCTCCTGACGCAGGGGAGAGGCCTGACAGGCGGCATGTCTTCAAGATCACCCAGAGCCATCTGAGCTGGTACTTCAGCCCTGAGACAGAGGAGCTGCAGCGGCGCTGGATGGCTGTACTAGGCCGGGCAGGCCGTGGGGACACATTCTGCCCAGGGCCCATACTGTCTGAGGACAGGGAGATAGAAGAGGCACCAGTGGCAGCTTCCGGAGCCACTGCTGAAACCCCTGAAGCTCCCCAAACCCGAGACAAGACCTAGAAGGTTTGGGGATAACTGAGGCCCCCTTGCCCCACACTCTAGTTGCCCATGTTCAATTGGGGGCTCCAGCCTCCTCCTTCCCAGCTCAGTCAATACTTGAACTCCCATTATGGGCACTTTCAATCCTGAATGCTGGGTCTCGGGTTTTTTAATTCATCTTTTCACAAAGTGTGAGCTTTTTAAAAATATTCCTACAGTGATGTTAATTTTTTTAACCCCCATTCCCAGGGAGGGTGAGGGTTGTTGCTAGACCCACCTAAATTAGGCCATGTTCCCCCATCCATCCCAATACCCTACAGATCCTGCTTTTACCCAGTTCCTCCCAAAACATGATGTGTGTATGGGGGCAGATCTGGTTAAAGGCCACATCTGCCACTGACCCATGGCCCATCCCACACCTGCCTCTTTAGCCAGTGTCTTCACATGGGGTGGTAACCAGACCCCTCCTGCCTCTTCCATGGCTTACAGCTTCTACCAGCCCCAAAGGTATCCAGTATTTTATCGTCCAGACCCATGGCAGGGCCACTGGGCAGGACAGGGGAATGGGAGTGGGGTGGGTTGGGGGGTGGGGAAGACAGTGGATACTCTTTGTTTGTTTTTTAAAGAAAAATACAGTTTATTTCAGGCTTATGGAAACTTTCAGAGCCCTGCTGTGCTCCATTCATCTGTTTGTCCAAAATACCAGGCTGCTAGGGTAGGCCCAGAAACTGCTCCCTTGCTGAACTCAATTTCCTGTAGGCTGATTTCAAGGTTATTCACAGGAAAAGCCACATATTAAACAGTAAGATATTACTTATTACAGTCTTAAGCCTCATCCCTGGACTTGGATGGGATGAGATGAAGAGTTTAGAAAAGAGGTGGAAGAGAAAACAAAGTCCAGTCCCTCAACCTAGCCAAGGCTTTAGCCTACCTAAAGGCTGGAGGCTGGGCTGCAGGAAAAGAGTGTTCTGGGAAATTCCAAATACTAGGCAGGGAAACAGTTTCTCTTTGTATGTATATGGATAGAAGGAGAAAGAGGGATATCATAGCTACTATCTTTCACATCTTCAACTAATCTCTTTTCTGTTGATATGTTCATTTCACCACTCCTGATCCAGCAGGAAGATTGGTTCTCTGGCTGGCCCTCTCCCTTCTCAAATCCACTTGCTCACTGTCAACCAGCACTGAGCTTTTCCTCCAGCCACACCCACTCATCCCCCTTTTCACAGTGACTCAACCTGGAGAGGCACTGTTCTGGTAAAATAGGCCTCCACTCGTAATTTAAGAGCTAAGGAGGCATGGTGAACCAGGTGTCATCACCTCCAAAACCAAGGACCCTATTAGACCTCTTCTTCCTCTGGAGGGAGAAGGACAGGGGAACTGGGAGAGAGTAGGAATGGGGTAACCAGTTCAGGGGTTCATAACCCTCTAAAGCCCCTACATACAATCTCAAAATAATCAGCAAACAAAAGCCCAAACCACTCCCAGCCCCACTCATTTCTTTCTCCGGACAATGGTCCAGCCATCCTCCACTATATCTTCTTCCTTAATAGTCTGGGAGTCTGGACCCTCTGGTTCAAGCTGGGGGCCAACCCCACCTGTTGCTGCCCCATCAATCGTAGCTGTGACCTGGAGGAGAAATACAAGAGAGAGCTAAATACAACATCTTCTAACTATGGCCACTGGAGACCCACACTGCCCTCCCAGCTTTGCCAGGACAACGACCTTAAGAAAGTCCCCTGTCCGCTCTGTGTAACACAACCACTACCACTGCTTACCCAATCACTTCCCTACTAAGCTAACTGCTCTCCCAGAAAATCGAGAATAATTGCATCCCCCCACCCAAGAGGCACCCTCTTCACCTCCATCTCCTCCACATCGTCTGCATCATCTTCGTCAGTCTCTCTGGCTGTTGTAAGTGCGGTGGCTCTGACTTTGCACTTCCTCTGGGTGATAAAGGAGGCCATCTCCCTCAGAGCAGTCCCATCACCCCTCTGGAAGTGATGGAACATGGTCTGCAGCTGTTGGCTCACCTACCAAGAAAACAGCCAGCCAGCTAGGCTTCCCCCAGAGAACTTACAACACAACCAGCCCATGTTTGCAGCAAGAGCAGGGAACGGTCTGAAAATTTCCAGAAGAGAAAATTTCCAGAAGAGGACTCCCCAAGTTCACTAAGGAAGCAACCACATATGAAGGGCTTGGATAAATGCCTGAAGCACTGAAGTAGGACCTCCTACCAGGGAAAGCATTAGAACTGGGTTTGAACAGTAGAAGATGTAAACAGGCAATCCCAGCAAGGGGAGGCAAAGGTGGCAATGTATCTAGCTAGACCTGTACTGCGACAGGGGTGAAGTACCTACCTGGCTAAAAATGGTATGTGGAGAGAAATAAAAGTTTGGGAAAGTCAGGAAAACTAGACTTTTCTCTCTAGGCACTAGTCATATAGAAAGTTGTGCAGGACTCAAGAAGAGTGGCTAGAGCCAAGAGTCAGCCAACAATAAGAGTTGAAGAAAAACTTCAGGATAGGAAATGGTAATTGTGTCTAAAATAGGCTTACCTGGGGCAGGCTTCCATCCTCCACAACTGTATCAAATTCATTGGTCATGAGCTCACCGAGGAAGTCTTCCACCTCATCTAGTTCCAAGTCAGCTGAGTAGGAAAGGTACTTTGATCAAAGACCAGCCAAATTTATCACTACTGCCTATGGCTCTTCAATGCCTACTTGATGAGTCCACATCTAATGGGTGAATAAAGGCCCAAGAGTGGGTCTTTAGTTCCCTTAAGTTCTCTGCATTCCAGATTTTAACATGGTTAAAAAAAAAAAAAAGAAACCAGTAAATACAAAACCTGATTTCCAATTTTCTGCATCCTACCAAAACCTCTAATCACACAGCATCCAGCCCCACACCTGCATGTGTCCCATTTTAACTCTTTTCTGTGACTTTCAGCAAGTTATCTCTGAGCCTCAGTTTTCTCATCTGAAAAGTGGGACTAATAGTGGCCAGTGCTAGGGGAAACCCAAAATCTATGTTAATTTCCATCCCTTAAAAGCTGCAGTTTTTGAAGTATAGTGATCCTTCACAACGTTGTAGAGAGACCCTCCACTAACTGATAAAGGAGGACACAGAGCAACAGAACGGGTAAGAAGAACTGGATGCGATGCGAGTAGGTGCAATAATGATGTCATGATAGCTTTGACATCAACATCCTCCTAATGGCTTAGCCTTCCTGTCTGAGCTTCAGTTACCTTATGGAGCCATGCGTTCTCTTTTTCTGAATTAAAGAATAATTCAAGCAAGTTCTCCACAAAGTTTATTCCTTGCCTTCTGCCCTCTTAGAGAGCTCATTTCACTCCCTTGCCTTTCCCTACCATGCTAACTTAATATCTCCCAAATCTATCTCCAACTGTTTCACAGCTACCCCAAGACCACCATATCCAAAGCCAGACTCATCACTTTACCTTCCAAACCTGCTTCTCATCCTTCAGGATTGCTCTAACTCCCACGAAAGATACCAAATCCAGAAACCTGCCTCATTTCCTTCTTCTATTGCCAAACAATCTCCAAGGCTCCCATCCACTTTTTCATGACCACTGCCACTTCACTAGGCCTCATCATTTTCTAGACAGACACAGCCTTATCATCTTTCCCTTTCTAGCTAGCAAATACCACCCTATAACTGACCATAGAACCTGCCCATGAATTTCTATTACCCATTGCAGTGTTTCATAATCTGCTGGGTTTAAGGGACACTATCCATACAGAGCGAATAGGAACAAAGACAAACAGGTTTCTTTTTGGTGGTTCTTATCTTTATCCAAGCCTTTAATATGTTAATGAGTATTGTGACTCTTTAGGAATTAAAGAGCTTTACTTGCATTATATTATGGCCACTTTCTTCACTAAACATCTAAATGGAATTACTCTTCCATAACATATACATTTTGGCAAACATTGGCCTACAGGATAAAAATTAAAGGCACCTAAAGGTCTTCCCAGTCTTTCCATTTCAGGGGGCTTCTCCTACTTCGACTTCATTCTCTATCATTCCTCCAACCCACAATCCACATGCAAATATATCCTTACTTCAATAATGAGCTCCATGCCATTTTCCAAATGCAACAATCTCCCTGTACCACAGAATGAGTGTTGCCTTCTCTGCCTCCCCCACCTAGTGAGCTCCATCTTCTGATACTCAGTTTGGACCCCTCACCGGGTGGTTAGCGTCCTTTAGAGAAAGAACTCTGCCTATTGTCAAGTCAAAGACTAAAAACCTGAAGAATCTTCTAAAAATCATACTATGCCAAAGCTCCTCCGCAGGACCCATTACTCCTACAGGACCCTCAAGACAGTCAGATGTGATTACTGAACACTTAAAATGTGGGGCGGTCAAGTTGAGATGTACAGAAACTTTCATGCCCATTCTGGGAATTAGGAAACTGAGTCTGGGGAGGTAGAATGACCTGTCCAGAAAGGTACCATAAATCAGTGGCACATTCTGCAAGGTTCCAAAGCTGTACTCATTCCACCTCGCCCTCAGGGGCCAACCCACAACAGCTCCAAGAGGAAGTGCGAGCCGTCCATATCCGACAACTGCTCCCCAGGGCCCCACACTGACAGGTCGCAGTGCCTAAGGTTCACTTACCATTGCGGAAAAAGTATTCCTCCACGGCACCTCCCAGCCACTCGGCTTTCTCCTGGCTGTGCACACCCCCGAAGCCGTTCTCCACAGCAATCTGCAAACACAGGCCCAAGCCCACCACGTCAATCTGGGAGTCGGTTTAGGGAGCGCTGGGGCTCGGAGTTTACGTTGTCCAGCCGAGCCTTAGGCACATTGTCCCGCCAACTCCAGTTCTGCCCCAGGACCTACCCTTTATCCCCATCCGCTCCTCCACTCACCTGCAAGGCCGGCCAAGCCTCCAGCGCCGCGCGGACGCCAGCCCCGAAGAGCGCCCGCGAGTCTTCCCCCTCGCCCGCCATCATCCAGCCACGGACCACGTGACGCTCCTATCGCCCAATCCCTCTGCCGCTTGGCCCAGGCCGAATAAGCCGGAAGCCTACCCTGAGAACATAGATTTGCCCTCTGCTGACCAGGCGGCAAGGCTAGAGCAGTAGAAAAATCTATCCGAGCAGTCGATGACACCACCACAGTTTCTCACAGGTCATAACAACATCAAAGGACGCCACAAGCGGAGGCCATGTAGGGCTAAGGGTTCCTCGCCTTGGGTAATACGCAGAAAAGATGTGGGGAATTTATTGAAGCTCCCTCCAGCAAACCCACTTACCCGCCCAAAGTTAATAAACCTCCTTTAGGGAGGTTCATAAACTAAAAAATTCCCTGCATTTAAAAAAAGCATCCTAGCATCTGTAGAACACTGCACCCGACAGCATCAAAATGTTATTTTTTATAAAACATTCTCCATGACAGGTCACGTGTCAAGCCATAATGTATTCAAGGTACTTTCTAATTTCTCTTGCATTTTTTTCTTTGATCCATTTGTTATTTAGGAGTGTGCTGATCTACACGTATTTGTAAATTTCACAAATTTACTTGCTATTTATTTTGATATCACTCCATTCCAAAGTGTGTGACTTCAATCCTTTTGGGTATATGGAAGCCATACTTTATGGCTTGGCATATGGTCTTCTATCTCCACCGAGCAAATCAAAAAATGAATGCGCCGCAACTAAATCAATGCTTAGATGAAATTTTGTGGTTACGAATGTTAGGTCCAGCTGGAGTCCCCAATCCCTTCCATAAAAGGAGATATATGAGATCCTCTCAAATTCCAGAAGCAATGCCCCCACTGCTGTACCTAGAACCCGGATGAAGAGTGGTGCCAGATGGTGACTTGGATATAGAACACCGAGAAGCTGGGGAAAAAAAAAAAAAAGCAACTCAGTTCCGCATTCTACAAAAACTGTCAGTCCTAGTACTTTTCCATTCCCTGTCTATAAAATATCCCTAGCCTGTGACCAGGGTGCAACTCCTCAGACCCCGCTGAGGGTCTGTGAACCTCGTCTGGGAATTTCAATAAAGGCCACCCCATATTCCTTTAATCTTTTGCCTCATCTTGTCCTTTACCTCGCGATATTTCTTACAATAAATACCTACCCATGTTTAAAAAGAACAAATATCTCAAATTGATAACTTTTTCTACTTTAGGAGACCAGGAAAAGAAGAACAAAGTAGTCCCAGTTCAAACAAAGGAAGAAAACAATAAAGATTGAAGCAGAAACAAATGAAATAGAAAAATGAAAAACAACACAGAAAAATCAATGAACCCCAAATTTGGTTATTTGGAAAATTTTCAGGGTATTTTAGCTGTTCTATGTAGTGACAAATCTTAAATACTCTTCATATTAACAATGCCCAAGTGTTTGGTACTGAAGCCTAACCTTTATTTGTTCAATAATAATCCATATGAAGGGCTAGCATCTCAGACCTGCCACGCCTTATTAGGTCCTTGAGACTAAGCGGTAGCCCCAGCTGGACTGTGGGAATTGCAGATGTGTAGCTATGCTCCTCTGGAACAGTGTGCGAGAGCCCTTTTCTATTCCTAGCAATTTTACTGACTAGACTATTTGTTTATTATGAAAAGATATAACTCAGGAACAACCATACAGAATTGCTGCATAAGGCAAGGTATGTGAAGAGGGACTTGGAACTTCCAAGCCTTCTCAGGAAACACCTCTTCCCTGCATCCCCAGTGTTCACCACTCCAGAAGCTCTCTGAACCTTGTATATTTCGATTTTTATACCATCTTCATTACTTAGGAATGGTTGATTAAATAATTGACCGTTGACTATTGAATACAATCTCTAGCCCCTCTCCCCTCACTGGAGGTCTAAGGATGGGACTGAAAATTCTAAACCTTCTCATCACAAAGTTGGTTCCACTGACTTGCCAGCCCCCATCCTTATATTACCTAGGTGCTTTCCAGAAGTCACCTCATTAACATAACAATAGATACCTTTTACAACTAATCAAGAAGGAAATTCCAGGTGTTTTAGGAGTACTGTGTCAAGGATGGAGATGAAGACCAAATATATTTTTCTTATCATAAATCACAATATTACAGTAGGCTTGCTAGAAATTCTTATATATGGTACGACAGCTTAGGCTCCAACATATGGAGGTATTTGAATGAACCCTGAAATTTAACCTTGAGACTAACATCCAAGGCCAAGCATACTTAGAAATAGACTTTTTTTACCTTTTGTGTGCAATTTAATAAAGCAAATATATACCTTCCCAGAATGTTTGTAAATGCATAAAATACAACATAGAACTACAAAGAAAATCAATTATACTAAAATACAGTCATCAAAATATTAGAAAAACTAATTATAGCAGACAACCTCGCCATCTTACTCATTGCTACTCTCAGCAGTGTATTTCAATAAATCTCCCTTTTCTGTTCTCCACCCCGTCTCTGGTGAATTCTTTCACCCCTGCACCTCTAGTTTATACCCTGAGTCTTCCACAATTAGGGTAAAGGACATAGGCAAGAGCAGAAACATACCCTAATTTGCAGGCCCCTCACTGGTCTCAATCCAAAATAATCTGCCTTTCTCTAAGTCATGGGAAGATACCTCTTGAGGCTCACAGGGCCTTGATTGACCCCTACTTCCCAAACTAAGGTGACGAGAGCCCTACTCTGGGCCTATTGAAAAAAGCCTATCTGACCTTTTGGAGGAGACTGACCCCACAACACCCATGATTAGAATTCTGTCTAGTTTGCTCTAAAGTTCCACGATTGTAGCTGATTGGCTCCTGTGAGCCAGGCACAGGACTCCCCATGGGGAGAATGTGAGAAGCAACATAGACCTGTACCATGCTGCAGCTTCAGGATGGGAGCAGAGGGAGGGACACTGACATTAGGTATGAGTTCATTATGCCACACACCTAGATAAAAGGCTCTTCAGGGAAAAATATGGCAAAAGAAGCCCCTTTGACTTTAGTGACCAAGAAGCCCTTGACTTTCACCAAGAAGCCCTCTCACATTAGCAGTCTCTCTAAAAGAGAGCTTGACCTGAGACAGGAAGGGTGTGCCAATCAAGTAGTGGGGTAGTAGATGTCAAGCTGTGGAGACCCATGGTTGTTTTGACATATCACACTGAATTTGCTTTATGACAACCTCAACAAAGATTGTGTAGTGGTTAAGCACATGGACTCCAAAGCCAGAGGCCTAGATTCAAGTGCTGGCTTTACTACTTGCAATTGTTAAAAAAAAAAAAAAAAAAAAAAAAAGAATAAGTAAACCAAAAACTAATTGTAATATGCATATTTATTTATTAATGCATTAACTACTCTGAACTATTAGCATGCTAGATGACTACTGGTGTTTAAATTAATGAGTAATATAAAATAATGTATTTTTTAAATAATTTATTCATACAGAACTGGGGTACAGACTAGAGGTGCAGGGGTGGTGAGAGGCTTCAGCAGAGACAGAGTGGGGAACAGAACAGGCAGATCGACGAAGTACACTGCTGAGGGGAGCAGCGGGCAGGTCAGGAGAGGTCTGCCACACCATGAGGTTACCTCAGGGACTGGGGTTCGAACTCGCACGGAGGCGGATGCCACCAGGTTGCAGTGCTGCGTCCTAACCCATCGTGCCACCAGAGAGGGCCAATATAAATAATATTTTAAGAGGTTTGTTAGGATACCTCCATACTTGGTTGCCTATAATATTCATTATAGAGTGAAATGCTAAATTCTGTTGGAGGTTAGTGAAAAAAATATATTTTTTTCTCTTTTCTATCCAAATATACACTTTGAATTCTTTGCATGACACTTCACAAATTAAAGCTTCTCAGGTTAAGTATTCCTATTCCATATTCTAAAGCAAATTATTTTTCAGTTTCCTGATGTTTATTGTTTTTTTATTCCCATGACTATCCCTTATATCAGTATAGACCTTTTTTCCATACACCTCCGTTTCACCTCAGATATTTCTCTGATTATTAATGACAGCTAGTTTTTTTTTTAAGATTTATTTATTCATACAGAACTGGGGTACAGGCCAGAGATGTGGAGGGTGAGAGGATTCACCAGGAACAGAGTGGGGAGCAGAACAGGCAGATCGACGAAGTACACTGCTGAGGGGAGCAGCGGGCGGGTCAGGAGAGGTCTGCCACGCCATGTGGATCTCCTCCAGGGCAGGTAGGGATCGAACTCATGCGGAAGTGGCTTAAGCTTCTTAGTGCAGTGCTTTAACCCGTTGGGCCACCAGGGAGGGCTGACAGCTAGTTTTTATAATATTTAATGTATCAAATTGTCTACTAGCTGTGACGCCTCTCTGCCAACACAAAGACGCCACGATATATCTTCTTGTAGATCCTTTATTCTGCCCCTCTCTCGCTCGCCAAGGGGAAGCGCATTGCTTAAATAGCATTCACTTGGCCAATTAGAGCACTGCTCACGTGTACAACAACCATAACTGAGCAGAACACAAAAAGAGCATACACTGATCACGCAAGAGCATATCCAATAAGATTTAACTTCCTTATACAGGCGGATGTTGACGTATTTTGTTTTTCACCAGCTCAAGTGCACTGGCTAAAGGCCAGGCTCCATCTTAGTCGTTGAGTAATGGGGCAAGGGGTCCCGGACACCCTGACAACTAGGTACATGTGCAATATTTGCATTTGTCACTGTGACTTGCTTTATTACATATAATTCCCTTGAATTCCTTCCATTTTGCTATAGATGGCAACATTTTGTCTTCTGAATTTGATAGTATTCCTTGGTGTGGATATACCACCTCTTTCTGATTAAGTTTTCCATTTATTGGGCCTTTAGGTTGCTTCCATATCGTAACTACTGTAAATAGTGCTGCAATAAACGTTGTGGTGCAGTCGTTCTTTGAGGAGATGGTCATGTTTTTTGCATTTATACCAGTGAATCATGTGGTAATTCCATCTTTACTTTCTATGCAAATAAGATTACTTTCCAAAGTAGTTATGTAAACTGG